TATAATGGGCTCATATTGAAGCTTGTTCTAAGATAGATAATCAATTCCCACAAGACCGAGACTTTGCAATGAAGGGGCAATGGGACCCCTCATCCTTATGCCTGACTCCGCCCCTGTGTGCACTAGTCAAGTACCGATTGAACATAGTGAGTACCATTGAATTTGCTCACCAATAAATGTAGTTGCATATAAAAGACCAAACCAATCTTAGGGTGTGTTTGACAACTACCCAAAAACTGTATCAGGTTCAACTCTGGTCCAGTTCTACTCTAACCTAATTATAATGGGCTCATATTGAAGCTTGTTCTAAGATAGATAATCAATTCCCACAAGACCGAGACTTTGCAATGAAGGGGCAATGGGACCCCTCATCCTTATGCCTGACTCCGCCCCTGTGTGCACTAGTCAAGTACCGATTGAACATAGTGAGTACCATTGAATTTGCTCACCAATAAATGTAGTTGCATATAAAAGACCAAACCAATCTTAGGGTGTGTTTGACAACTACCCAAAAACTGTATCAGGTTCAACTCTGGTCCAGTTCTACTCTAACCTAATTTAATTGTGGACAAACACCCTCCTAATCTACCACTAAACTGGTTTTATGACTTCTTTTTGGTCTAAGAAAAATTGGGTCAGAACTAACCTAGTTTTTGTAGGATCTGAAATAGATACACTAGAACACTAGAAGAGGGGTGAATAGTGTTCTTTTAAAATATATGCAAAGTAGATTATAAATTGCAAAGAAAAATGGCAATCTCAGAAATTCACAATCACAAACACAAAGTTTTATACTGGTTCCACCAACCCGGTGTACATCCAGTCCCCAAGCAAATCCCGCTTGAGATTTCCACTATGATTTTGAAACCTTACAAAATCAAAAGCAAACCTGACCAATTTGCAAGACCATGCAAATTGCAACACCAATTGACAAGACCATGCCAATTGCCACCCAATCTCTAAACCAAGAGATCAACCCTCTCAAACCCGAGAGAAATCCTTTTTGAAGCAAGAACACAATTGATCCTATAAGCCTTGAATGTGTAGTGAAGTGCTGCAGTGGCTTAGGATTCTTTTAACTCTCTGAATATTGCCTATACAATCTCTAAGAATGATTGAAACCAAGGCAATATCAGAAACTCTCTTTTTCTAAACACTTAGCATGAAAATCTGGAAAATTAGAGAGTGAATATGCAAGGACAAATTTTCAAAACCAACCTTTTTCAGTTTTTATTTGTAAAAACCGACCGCTTTTGAAAATAATTACAAAAACCGACCTGTTTTCAGCCCAGCGCTGAAAACAGGTCGGTTTTTGTAAAAAGTTTTCTGAAACATCACGGGAGTTCAACTCCCGTGAAGTTTATCGAGAAATTAAACTTCACGGGAGTTGAACTCCCGTGAAGTTTAATTTCTTCTTAAAACTCCACGGGAGTTCAACTCCCGTGGAATTTGCGCTCAATTTCAAAACTCTTAATGCTGTGACCTGAGCTTGAGGGAACCAAGGTTATATTTGACGCCTCTAAATAAAAAATAAAATAAAAAAGGAGCTCCTTTCACCCCCAACTAACCGCCATCAACGAAAAGGCCCAGATTTCTCTCGATGCCAAAATCTCTTTTTCACCGCATTAAAACCAGTTTATGCAGGTAGGAGACAACTCAACTCAACTGAGCATCAGTTTCAGGTCCTCTCAAGTTCATGAGCATCCAAAGCCCAGTTGTACTCTAACAAGCCGATAAAAATATATATAAAAAAAACTTTCATAAAATCACTTTTTTGAGTTGGGAGAGCTCATCAAGAAGATCTGCGAGGAGACAAGAACGAAGATTAGGGTTCTTGACGGCGTAGCTGAGACTGCGGATCGTGTTGTGAGAACTCCTCAGCACTTTTTTGAGTTGGGGTTTTGTGATTTGTGGTCTTCTTGTGATGTTGTTAGGATTTAAATTCCTGTAAATTATGACACCTTTCGAGGATTTGCGAGGAGACGTTGCAGAGAAATGGGTTTTAACTAATCCAACCTGCACACGTACGAAATAAATTCAAACACACTTCACGGGACTTCAAGTCCCGTGAAGTTTGTTTGAACTTATAACCTTCACGGGACTTGAAGTCCCGTGAAGTTTAGGAGCTTAGTAAAATACTTGTTAAACTTCACGGGACTTCAAGTCCCGTGAAGTTTCGGAACTTTTTTTGTAAAAACCGACCTGGTTTCAGCGCTGAGGCTGAAACCAGGTCGGTTTTTACAAATAATTTTGAAAGGGGTCGTTTTGGGGGAATAAAACTACAAATGGGGCGGTTTTGAAAATTTGTCCGTCAGAAAATTGTTTAGTAGTCGACTACAAGGCATAGTAGTCGACTACACTGTAAACTCAGATTCTAGAATTTTTTTGTTTAGTATTTTGACTATAACTTTCTCATCCGATATCGGAATGAGGTGATTTAAGATTTGTTGGAAAGCTCTTGAAGAGACCTACAACTTTGGTCTTTTGAGTTTTTCCAGATTCTAATTTCTAAGGGGTGTAAATGAAATGTTTTAAGACTCACTTAATATCTATAAACTCTAATGACTAACATAGGGGATTTCTATTGTTAACCAACACACTAAGCATGTGTTAGTGTGTTCTAACACTATATGTATGCATGTGTGTGAGTGATCAAGGCTTGTACAAATTTCTAAGCAAAGAACATATAAAATTACATTTTGACAATAAAGTATATCTTCTTCTTTGCTTCATTTTGCCTTGAACTCATCTATGTCTTGAGTATCTCTTTGAATATAATTATTGATATAGCTCTGATACTGCAAAACAAATGTTAGCACATAATACACACAACATATAATATTTGTTATCATCAAAACAAACTAATCTTGGGGTCAAGATTCCTAACATTCTCCCCCTTTTTGATGATGACAAATATATGTTATTAAGATATAAAAATTTTAATCCCCCTGCATGAAATCATTAAATAAAATCTTTTACTCCCCCTGCATCAAAGCATTAGTAAAAAATTTAAAATTAAAATTTTCTATATAACTCCCCCTTTGTCATTAGCAAAAAGAAATAAACATAATTCTAATTAAAAATTTCTTTTCTTGGGTACCTTAATAAAAATATCAAGCACTTTGGTACCCTTTTATATTATATCATTAGGATTAGCCCTTAGGAATCCAAATCCACTTGGAATTTGGTTTCCATTTGTTAACATAAGTGTAATTCTTTGAATTGCAAACTTCATAAATATAAGATGAAATATAATAATTCCTATCATGAATATTCAAATTCTTAGGAATCCATATATACTTATTTTGTTTAGCATGAATATTCTTATTATTATTCTTCAAAACATAATCATTCTTTATAAAATACTTAGGAACAAATCCAATGCCAAAATGATTGTTTGAAGATTTTTGAAATGAGAGCAAATTATTCAAATTCTCTTTACTTTTATTGAATTTACTAACATTCAAACATATATCATCATATTTTAATTTAATAGAAGAAATATCTTTATCTAAAACATTAATGCGGATTTTTAAATCATTGCATTCTGATTTTAGATAAACATTCTCATTAGTCAAAATATGATTTTCTTTAAGCAAGGATTTATTTTCCTCTTTCAATTCAATTACTTGAGAATTAGAAATAGTAGAAGAATTAAAATCAGAAATTTCTTCAAGTAATCTTTTATTTTCACCTTTAAGAAAATTATGTGAAGCCTTTAATCTCAAAAATGTTTCATATAATTCATTGAAAGCATCTAATAATTCTTCATTATTGCATACCTCATCTTCTTGTGCCATGAAGCACATGTGAGTGGATTCCTCTTTTTGTTCTTTCATTTTGAATAACTCAAACCTGTGCACAAGAACAGATATTTTAGATTCTTTAACTTTATTTGTACCTTCATGAGTTACCTCAAGTGTATGCCAAATATCGTATGCAGATGTGGTCGTTGACACCCTATTGAACTCATTCTTGTCAAGTGCACAAAATAATGCATTCATTGCTTTTGAATCCAAATTTGCATTATTTCTTTGAGAAGTAGTCCATTCTGCAAAAGGAGTTGTTGGCTTCTCATATTTTGTTTCCACGACGTTCCAAAGTTCATCGCCAATTGATTGAAGGTAAATCTTCATTCGGCACTTCCAATAGTTGTAGTTCGTGCCATCGAATAGAGGTGGTCGCTGTGTGGAATATCCCTCTTTGAATTGGGATGTATTTGTTGATGCCATCTTTCACCTTGCTCTGATACCAAATGTTGGATCTGAAATAGATACACTAGAACACTAGAAGAGGGGTGAATAGTGTTCTTTTAAAATATATGCAAAGTAGATTATAAATTGCAAAGAAAAATGGCAATCTCAGAAATTCACAATCACAAACACAAAGTTTTATACTGGTTCCACCAACCCGGTGTACATCCAGTCCCCAAGCAAATCCCGCTTGAGATTTCCACTATGATTTTGAAACCTTACAAAATCAAAAGCAAACCTGACCAATTTGCAAGACCATGCAAATTGCAACACCAATTGACAAGACCATGCCAATTGCCACCCAATCTCTAAACCAAGAGATCAACCCTCTCAAACCCGAGAGAAATCCTTTTTGAAGCAAGAACACAATTGATCCTATAAGCCTTGAATGTGTAGTGAAGTGCTGCAGTGGCTTAGGATTCTTTTAACTCTCTGAATATTGTCTATACAATCTCTAAGAATGATTGAAACCAAGGCAATATCAGAAACTCTCTTTTTCTAAACACTTAGCATGAAAATCTGGAAAATTAGAGAGTGAATATGCACAAAATGTTTGATCTTGCAAGTGCAAAACTTGGTGCTTGTTTTCTGATGTTTAAACCTATTTATAGCCTCTGAAATGACATAATTTTAAACTCAATTAACGTCCACAAAACGGCTATAAACAGTCACTTATTTTAAACCTGAAATCTGGAAAAACTGCATTTGTAGTCGACTACAAGTTATAGTAGTCGACTACACTGAGTCTAAACAGACTCTGTGAAGTCAGAAAATTGTTTAGTAGTCGACTACAAGGCATAGTAGTCGACTACACTGTAAACTCAGATTCTAGAATTTTTTTGTTTAGTATTTTGACTATAACTTTCTCATCCGATATCGGAATGAGGTGATTTAAGATTTGTTGGAAAGCTCTTGAAGAGACCTATAACTTTGGTCTTTTGAGTTTTTCCAGATTCTAATTTCTAAGGGGTGTAAATGAAATGTTTTAAGACTCACTTAATATCTATAAACTCTAATGACTAACATAGGGGATTTCTATTGTTAACCAACACACTAAGCATGTGTTAGTGTGTTCTAACACTATGTGTGTGCATGTGTGTGAGTGATCAAGGCTTGTACAAATTTCTAAGCAAAGAAAATATAAAATTACATTTTGACAATAAAGTATATCTTCTTCTTTGCTTCATTTTGCCTTGAACTCATCTATGTCTTGAGTATCTCTTTGAATATAATTATTGATATAGCTCTGATACTGTAAAACAAATGTTAGCACATAATACACACAACATATAATATTTGTTATCATCAAAACAAACTAATCTTGGGGTCAAGATTCCTAACAGTTTTTGCCAATAAAAAGCAAACTCAAAACTTGGCCAAGTTCAGTCATGAACTAATTTTAAGAATTTGCCAAACACATCCTTAAAATCTACATGATGTGCTTCTTAGAACTGCAGCATCATGTTCTCACTTCTCAAGATTGATCATCACTCTCTCTCTTAAAAAATAGAAAATAAAAAATAAAAAAAAAACCATCAACAACTAATCATTTGGCAACCAACCAAATATTGTAACTTCCACGGCACCGATTAGTACTTATACCCTAAGGAAGCACCCTCCCACTTCCCGTTACCTAAAAGGGAATACTACAAGTAACACGTGACAACATATTTTTCTATCATTTTCTTATCAAAACCTAACAAAATATGTTGCCAGCAAAGCCTTCGCAAAATTGTAGCTATAATCAATAGCTTGACGTCTTATATGACTCCTCAAACCAAACCCTTCGCCAGCATCACCGTGCAAGACAAACCAAACGCGTACGTGTACGTGCACGTAACCAAGACCATTATAAGCTCCATCATTCATCATCCAAACTAAGCCAAAAATGTCTCAGAGAATACCTAGATCCAAAAGCATCAAAACACCACCACCATCACTACTATATCAAGAAACCAAGAAACTTATTGATCCTCCTGCTCCTCCTCCAACCTTCTCACAAAAAGCCCTAACCTCGACGGCGAACCTCGCCAACCTCCTCCCCACCGGAACCCTCCTCGCCTTCCAACTCCTCACCCCTGTCTCCACCAACAACGGCTCCTGCGATGCCGCCACCCGACTCATCACGCAAATCCTCCTCCTCACCCTCGCCGTCTCCGCCTTCATCGCCTGTTTCACCGACAGCTTCCGTGCTCCTGACGGGCAAGTATACTACGGCCTGGCCACTCGGTCTGGCATGTGGCTCTTCAATTACCCGGTTAAGTTGGCGGTGCCGGATTTATCGGAGTATAGGGTTAGTGTTGTGGACGGGGTCCATGCGGTGTTGACGGTGCTGGTGTTCGTCTCGGTGGCCGCGAGGGGGAGGGAGGAGGAGGAGGTGCTGGATTTGGTGCCGGTTGGGGTTGGGTTGATGTGTGGGTTGCTGTTTGTTGTGTTTCCTACCACCAGGCACGGGATTGGGTACCCTGTGACTGCAGATGGGCGCTGAGTGAGTTTGTACGTGCTGGGTTTTGTCGTAAGATGTTGTGCATGTTTTGTTTTTTGTCTGGTTACTTGTGAGCAGTGCTAACCTTTTTTTTAAAATCTATAAATCTATTCTAATTCACTTATGAGGGTAATCTCATAGAAATAAATTCACTATTTGTATGTAGCAGGGGATCTCTAGATGCGATGTTCATGTTTTACTCTGTTTTCCGGGGGGATGGTTGATATATTAAGAATGTGGTGGCTAAGCTTTGTGTGATTATATGTTTGGAGATTATTGGGGATTACTCTTCTTTTTTGTAAACTACTGCTTTTTTTTGGATATTATAAGATAAGAAACGCGGCTGGGGCTATCGATTTTGAGGCCCTATCCTTCTTCTGAAAAGAATCGCGATATCTCTCAAATAAATTTTTTTTTTTTAAACTGAGTACAGAATCATCTGAATATTTCCAATTTTAGAAGCACTGGTGTAATAGATCAGATGATACTCGAATGCGTGCTCAAATGTACAGAGGAAAATTTCTAATCTTTCTTTCTTTCTTTCTTTTTTTTGTGCGACTTGTAGGATTGCAATCTGAAATCTCTCACAACCCAGCTATCATGCTTACAACTAGCTACACATCACTGTGGTATTTTGTACCTTAACACAGTGTATGGAGGTGAATGTATCATTCCTGTGTATTTCAGTTGTTGGGCATTATGACTAATGTGGCCAAAATGCAACAATTACACATAATGTTCACTACATCAATACCTGAGACCTGTCGATACCTACTAAACTTCGGAAGTAGGTACAAAAACATCAAGATTTCACCACAACATTGAGAAATTGCTCCTACTGCAGTGACAGGCATAAACAATCCAACATCAATTGCTAACATTCACGAATACTTCATCCTACAGTATCCTACAGTCAGCATCTTCTGAAATCTGTCACTCCTACAAGTGCAATGTGAACAAGTGCAATATGTTAGTCTTTGGGCATCCTTTATTTTGTCTTCTCCTTTCTCAGATACTTCATCGGCCTCCTTGAATTTTCTTCCTTTTAAGGAAACCAATGAGCCCATTTAACGCAACCTCAGAATCATCCCCCTCATCATCTCCTATCACCTCAGCCAGAGTCACTTTCACCTCTCCACTCAACCCTTCTATCCCTCCAAACAGCGGATGGCCATTGATGGAATGATAGTTCGAGGCCAACACTCGAAACCCACTAAAAATGCAGTATCCCATATTCCGTCCAGGCTGAAGCAATGCTGGATCAAGCTTCTCCTTGTGGTTTGTTGTGAACATCTATGATCCTCTCATCCCCACAGCTCGACCACAGGCCATCTGCAAGGTAAAGCAGCCCTGAAAGCATCAGCTGAAGGTAACTAATTGCACACCTCATGTATTAGTATTAACGCAAAATAAGAGTAAATTCGGGGGTAATCTTTGAAATTGGGCAAAGAACTGGGCCAGGATTGATCCTGGTCAAGTTTTGAGAGAATTTATTCCGTTTCGATCTCGGAGGTGGATCAAATCAGAACCGATTTTAAAGACCTATGAAAAGCCTGGCTACAATTAGCCCAAGCTTTTCCCAAACAACACTATTCTCAAAATTAAATCAAGTTCAGCTGTGGTCCCATTTTGGTAGGTTTCCAAACAATCTTTAATAGTGACAACTTGGTAAAACTTACCTTTGTGTTATCAGAGTAAGAGTCTGCAGCATCCTTCTTACTTTTCGATCCATCATTCTCCTCCCAAGAGGCGGCATCCACCATGCCATCAATGTCTTCCACCACAAGAATCGTCCTGCTTGAAGTCTAGACCAACTAACCGCGTAGGTCGTGATTGTTGCTCACCTCCATCAACTCCAAATCATACACATGGGACTTCAAATAGTTGGCCATTGAGGGGATCAAGTGTAGCGCGTAGCGAAAATTTCGGCAGCACTTCGGGCAGCACAACAAGAGAGTCAGGTCGCAATAGGAATTCTTGTTTCACAAAGAAAACAAGAACCTTAAGCAAAATATCTCAACCAAGTGAGATATCAGCTCTTCCTCTCATCAGTTCTAGGACTGACCTGTCAAGGGAACCTAAATAAACTATTACAAATCACACAAATAGCGAGACAACCAATTTTACGTGGTTCGGCAAATAACCTACGTCCACGGGACAAGGAGGGGGGAGATCTATTATTTGAGAAAAGAGAATACAAATTGAGTTTACAATCTCACAAGTTAAACCCTCACATAAACTCTCAAATCTCGCACAAATATCTCCACCAATAGATGCTCAAAACCCTAACAAAAGCCTTCTCAAAATCTCTACTTTTTCTCCTCTGCATGGTAACCCCCTCTGTGTTTTTCACTTCCAGCTGCTAAAAGGACTCCCTGCACATGTACCCTCAATTGCACGAAGCCCTAGGAGAAAGAGCTGTGATATTTATACAAGGTAATCGGGTGGGCTGTCCCATGCGGAATTCATTCACGTGGTGGCCCCCATGCACCATCTCTTCACGCGGAAACAAACCGCGTGAACTTTGTTGAGAGCGTGGCCCCCACCTACGTGACACTCCAACCATTCATAATTCTCCACCTCGGCGAAGTTTTCCCAAAACTGAGTCGACACCAAAGCAACCAAATGTCCCACTTGTTATGTCAAGTACGTTGTAAAGTTAATTTACGACAACAGACTCAATCCACAACAAGTCGGGAACCCGAACAAGAGTCCAAACAACCTCACCCCCATCAAAATCAACTAATCCAAACCGACTGCATCATAAATGACTGCTTACATATCCCCTTGCCCAATCCCCTTGCTCAAGGAATCAAGGCTCACGTAGTTCACCCAAATGGCCGCCAACGGTCTCAACAATCACGAATATGTAATAAGTTTCGATAATGATCAAACTTGTTACGCGAAACCACCTTAGTGAGCATATCCGTCGGATTATCCTTCGTGTGCACCTTCACAATCTCCACATCGCCATCTTCAAGAACATCACGAACGAAGTGATAACGAACGTCAATGTAATTCGTCCTCGCATGAAAAATCTGATTCTTCGCCAAATAGATAGCACTCATGCTATCACAATAAATAGTGACGGACCGCTGTGATATACCAAGTTCCTCTAAAAGTCCTCGAAGCCAAATAGCCTGCTTCACAGCCTCCGTAATCGTCATATACTCTACTTCCATCGTAGACAAAGCCACCATCGACTGTAAGGTACATCTCCAACACACCGGCGTATGGGTCAAAGTGAACACATACCCCGACGTAGATCGACGCTTATCCAAATCTCTGGCATAATTCGAATCAACATAACCAATGCATAACTGCCCACCTGTAGTATCCCGCTCATAAACTAAACTAACATTAAGCGTACCTCGAATGTACCTCAAAATCCATCTCACGGTGTCCCAATGACCCACTCCTGGATCATGCATGTATCTCGAAACCATGCTCATCGCCTGTGATAAATCCGACCTCGTACATACCATCACGTACATCAAGCTCCCAACAACACTCGCATATGGAGTCTTCGACATCAACCCTCTATCTTCAACTGTCTTCGGTGAAAGGTCAGTTAAAAGTTTTAAATGGGCTCCCAATGATACACTAACTGGCTTCGTATCCATGCTAACATGAAATCGTTGTAGAACCTTCTTTAAATAAGCCACATGTGTCAAACAAATTCTACCCTTCTTCTTATCTTTACCGATCTTCATTCCTAAAATGCGCTTAGACTCACCCAAATCCTTCATCTCAAACTCCTTTGAAAGATGTGCCTTCAACTCATCTATAGCAGATCTGGAAATAAAGGCAACCAACATGTCATCGACTAAAGTAACAAATAGATGTACGCACCTCCTTTCAACTTGTAAAAATATATACAAGGATTAAACTTGCTCCGAATGTACGAATGACCAATTGTAAAACCATCAAATCGTCTATACCACTGTCGAGGAGATTGCTTTAAACTGCATAGCGATTTCTTCAATCTGCAAACTAATTTTTCCTTCCCTACAACTCGGAATCCTAATGGATGAGTCATATATATTTTTTCATCAAGATTACCATGAAGAAATATTATCTTCATATCCAACTAATCTAACTCCAAACCATACTGTGCCACCAAAATTGAATCGCCTATACCACTGTCAAGGAGATTGCTTCAAACCGTATAGCGATTTCTTTAATCTGCAAACCAATTTTTCCTTCCCTGTAACTCGAAATCCCAATGACTGAGTCATATATATTTCTTCATCAAGATTACCATGAAGAAATATCGTCTTCACATCCAACTGATCTAACTCCAAACCATACTGTGCAACCAAAGCTAGCAAAATCCGAATCGAAGAGTACTTCACCACCGGAGAGAAAACCTCATTATAATCTATTTCTTCCTCCTGTGCATAGCCCTTCATAACCAACCTAGCCTTAAACCTTAATGGAGTGCCTTCAATGCCCTCCTTCTTTGTGTATATTCACTTGCAACCAATTACCTTCCGCTCCTTTGGAAGCTCAATAAGCTCCCACGTATCATTCTTGTGAAGAAATTCCATCTCCTCCTGCATAGCTACCTGTCATGAATCAGCCTCCAAACTTTGCTCGGCCTCTCTGAATGTAATAGGCACCAACTCATCGATACTCTCCACCGGAAGTGTATATATAACTACTATATCAGTATACCATGCTGGCATCCATATGTCTCTCCTCTGTCTCCAACCGCAATAGAATCCTGAACCTGAGCCGTCGGTCCCTGATCCTACATATCAGTACCCGTATCCTCCGTGTCATCGTCGTGCTCGCCTGACATCACCTCAATCAACACTCTAATGGATACTGCACCATCTGGACAATGTGGAGCTGCATCGATCTCCACCATCTATGATATCTCCTCTATCGGGTCGCTCTCCACCTAATGAAAGCTGGAAATCTTCAAGAAAGAAGCCTTATCGAATGTGACGTCCCTACTCAGTACAATCTTCCTATCAACTGGATCCCAAAGCTTGTATCACTTGACACCACGCTTGAATCCTACAAATATGGCCTTCCTAGCTCGAGGTTCTAATTTATTTGCTCTCACATAATAAAATGTAAGGCAACCAAATACCTTGAGCTGGTCATAGTCGTGTGCTGGCTCTCCTGATCACTTCTCCATAGGGGTTTTCCCCTTAATCGTAGATGAATGTAACCTATTAATGAGGTGGCTTGTATATGTAAGTACCTCAGCCCAAAAGATCTTCTCCAAACTATTCTGCGACAATAAACATTGGATCTTCTCCAGTAAAGACCGATTCAGCCTCTCTGCCACCCTATTTTGCTACGGTGTATGACTAACCGTGAAGTGCCTCTCTATGCCCTCGTCTCGACATAGCTACAAAAAGGGGTCTGATGTGTATTCACCACTGTTATCGGATCACAACGTCATGATCTTTCTCTCAGACTGTAGTTCCAACCTCTTCTTCCACTCCACGAATATATCCAGGACTTCACTCTTCTTTGCCATGGTGTACACCCAATATCTCCAAGAATAGTCATCAACGAACGTGACGAACCAATATCGACCACCAAGTGATGCAGTCTTGGTGGGACCCCAAACATCTGTGTGCACGTAATTCAGGATGCCCCTCGTCTGATGAATGGCCATCCCGAACTTCATCTTCGTCTTTTTACCAAGAACACAGTTCTCACAAAACTTTACTTTACCACTATTGGCTCTTTTCAATAGCCCTTGTTTGTACAGCGCCTGCAGTGACTTCTCTCTTATGTGCCCTAACCTATAATGCCAAAGCCTGCTCATATCCGCCTCTGAAATAGCTGAGGCAACCTGACCAATCTCAGTGCTCCCCTTCAGATAGTATAAATTTCGACTACGGACTCCCTTCATCACCACCAAAGATCTCTTAGTAACCTTCACTACAGTGTCTTCAAAGGTCACCTTGAATCCTTTTGTCTCCAAAGCTCCAACTGGGATAAGATTCTTCTTTAGCTAAGGAACAAATCTCATCTCCTTCAATTCACGAATTACTCCATCGTGCATCCGAATCCACACAGTACCTATCCATAAATGCCACAGGACTGATCATTTCCCATGACTACAACTCCCTCATCGAGCTTCTCAAAAGATGCAAACCAATCTCTCCTAGGGGTCACATGATAGGTAGCACCGGAATCAAGCATCTAATCTGATGCATCCAAGTGGTTTACCTTCGGAGTAATCAGTAAAGAAAAGCTCAAATCATCGAAATTATTATTTTTTGCAATATTCACCTTATTGGCCTTTGGGTCCATTTTCTTACCATTATCCTTCTCCTTAAGCTTCAGGCAGTCTCTCTTCTAATGTTCTTGCTCCTTACAGAATGCACATTGGTTCTTTGCTAATTGGTGATGGCTTCTTGACTTTGACCTCCTTCTATTACCACCTTTCGGATATGGGCTTCTACTTCTCGTCGATAAGGCCTCGGCTGAAGTACTTGCACGAAAAGACTCCTTGTCCTTACTCCTCAAATCATAATTCGTCAATGCATTAGTAACTTCACTATAGCTGATCGAAGATCTCCCGTTCAACAAAGTAAGCACAAAGATATCATACTCCTCATCCAGTAAGGAGCCCAATAAG